AAGATGTTTACAGCTATTTGTTCCTTCAGTTTTTAAACTGCTAATCATATTTAAAAGTTTGACTATGAAACATCTGTAAGTTAATAAATGCTCAAATGTCTTTCTGCAGGTGCCAACTGTAATCAACTGACTCCACATGAGAAGGAAGTTTCCAGTTTAGAGGAAACTTCTGTTACCCTGAGCTACAAGTTTTCTGGACAAGCAGCTGCTAATGATTATTTCTTCTGGTATCGACAATATCCTGGAAAACCTCCAGAGTTCCTGATCTCGTACTCTGGAACAGGACGCAAAATGTTGGATCCCGTTCCTGGTTTTTCTTTTAAAGTGAGTGATGATAAAACCCAGATGGACCTGCTGATCTCCTCTGCTGCACTGACAGATTCTGCTGTGTACTACTGTGCTCTGCAGCCCACAGTGACAGGAAACACCAGAACTCTGTACAAGAACCTGCAATAATCTACAACATTCACTAGAGGGACCCACACACTGTTAAAAAGCAGATTGTTGACTCATATGACTGATGACAAAGAAAACAGGGGAATGAGGCAATGAAGAGTAGAATCAGATCTTCTTTGGAAGCTACAAGCATGGTGGTGGTTTCATGTTAAGGGAAGGTTCTACTTCCTTTGGTTCTATTGCTCTTGCACATGATGTCACTGTACTTTACCATGACATGCTGCGCATTGCTGTCTTGGCTAAGGGGAAAGAAAAGTAATGTGGAATTTCTTTGATTATTATTTTTTACCTTTGTTCCCAACCAAACTGGGATAATTTCCTACCAAGACATGACTTTTGTTATAGGTATATGTTTTTTTTAATATTCAATCTAATAACCTGTCATATGATTTACGCCCCCCTGGTTGTTTGTTAGGAAATGACCAGGAAGCAGAGTTATAGTTTAAAACACCTCTCTGCAGCTTCTTTACTGTTACCCACTCATTACTTCATCCAGTGTCTTGCCCATTACCAAAATAAAATAAATAAGAAAAGAATCATAAAGCAGTAAATTATGATAATCAGGTAACATTTTTAAAATAACTGCAATTTAAAAAAAGTTAAAATGATTAAATGTGATTCACTTAACACGAGATCTTTTTCTTCAAAAAGTTAGTTAGTTGTTAAAGACTAGATTTGTGATAATCGCATTGATTTATGTTACTTGGCTGCAGCAAGAGGATTACGTGAGCATAAAT